TACAGCAAGGGATGTTAACAGCTAAATGATACTGATATTTTTCTGGTATGACAGATTTCTTCCAGCATGCCCTGTAGCATATGCTATAGCTTATATATCTTCCTCTAGGTGGAGTAACCTCTCTGTTGTCCTGCAGCTACAAATAGGCACTTAGGTTTTATTGCTAGCAGCTGCTCCACTCCAGAAAAGGAGGAGGTCTCCCTCCATTCTGATTAGCAACATAGTCTGAAGGTTTTATTCAACTTCAGAGAGCATTACAACAGGCAATATGGCATCCTACTAAATGCTGTGTCTAAGCATGCAATTAAGTTATAATTCTTGAGTGTAATATTCTGCACAGTCGCTACAAACAATGTTCAGCTGAATCTTGTAGCAGTTAGTTGACCATCTTATCCTCTAAAGACAGTGGTTTATGGAACAATGAATGACAGGCACTGAAGGCTAAACGAGGAAAGCACTTCACGTGCTTAACACTATATTCAGGACAGAAATTGAAGAACATCGCTTACTTGGAACACATAGTAAGACTAAGCATGTTCTTTAATGTCAGAGACCCTTAAGGTAGAGATGAAATTTACTGTGTGTGGATGTAGTTTGTTATATAGAGTGGTAGTCTGAAACAAGGTATTAACCAACTCTCAAACAAGCAGTATAATTTTACACTTGGACAGACAATTTGTTTTTACAAGAAAACTATTTATGAAGTATTTGAGATACATTGGCACTAGAAAAGCAGTAATACAAAGACATTAAGTAATAATCAGACTAATCAAAGCAATTACTAATAAGACAATAACATTTTCTTACATAGCTTTTAGATTTATTTCCACTAGAAGAAAAATACTTTTTTCCTGTAATGTTAGTTCAGTTAGTTAAGATGTAAGATTTTGCCTCCAGCGTGATTTTCCCCAGCCACAATCAAGAGTCAGTATCACTAGTCCAACACAGTGCCATTAGCTTGACCTGGATAAGCAGGGACAGGGTACGCTAAAGATCATGACAGTTATATGAAGAGTGCAGTAATGATGGTGCTAAATCATTCATTCTGCCACCCAATTATTTCTGGTAGCTCAGGGACTGCTGTACAGAAACCACAGCTCTTTATTGTCTGTAGCCTACACGAGTGGAACAGCTAACCTGCATTAACAGTCGCGCTGAAGAGTCTTCTTTCAGTCTATGTATGTCTTTTCATTGCACTTGTAGAGTGCAGAACACGGGATTAGCTGGACGTATTTTAGGTGCACTGAATTACCAGTGCTAAAATAGAGTTCACTAGTCTAAAGGACTTAGTTCACTAAGTCCTTGGGGTTTGGTCACACAGCTAATATATATTTTGTTTGTTTCTTTGAGCCATCAATTTATGGATAAAATCATTATGCTGGTTATGTGTCACCATGTAAATGCTTTATTTGGTTATACAGCAGTTACCAGGTGTCTTTTCTTTCCGCTTTGGCATTTAATTGTCACGATGCATTTTAGTTTCCAAAATTATGTAATCTGATGTAATAAAAACTGCTTACAAAACAAAAAATACACTGACAAAGGCAAAACATTATTTCATTTATGAAATTTGTTGCTAAAAACAGGACTTTACTTCACTCAGTGTGCTCACTCATTGCTATTTATCAAGGCTTGTTTAAGGTTGCAATTGAATAAAGAACAATAAATGCAATTTAGTGTAAAAAGGCAAGGTCACATGGCCTGGGTCTTAGTTAATTTATCTTTCATGACAGATTCTATTTTCTGCTGCTGGTATTATTACTCGGCAATACATTTCTCCCATGATAGTGCATCTGTAGCTCTTGCATTGCCAAACTTAGTGGTAGCATTTAATTTGTGTGACATTATTCAGTTATCAAGAAAAAGTAGTGCATGCTGAGAAACACAGTGGTATTTAATGATAGCATAAAAAATGAGTTCTTGTAAGCAAGAGCAATGATGTCTCAAGTACTTTGCTAAAAACACTTTTCTTTCTGAGGCTGCACTATCCTGTTCCTGTTCTGGTTCCTGTCCTGGGGATTCACCAGACAGGTCTCCAGATGAAGGCTAACAGGTAGACATGCTGAGACAGTAGACACAGAACGAGTTTGACAATTAAATTTCATATCTTTTCCCTTTAGTAATGGCAAATGGATAATGTGCAAAGACTGCAGCACTGAATTATAGGAAAGCCACACTGAGATTGCTAAAGTCATCTAGTCTATTCCCCTTTCTGTGTAGATCAGCTCTACATATGTAATTTTCAGCAGAAACTAATCTAATCCATCCTTAGAGACCTGCAGTGATGGAGGAGCCACGTAACTAGTCATATGTTTCCTATAATATTATACACACATGGTTTTGTATGACATTCTGATATTCATACCCATGTTAAGTGGAATACAAATATACCCATGACATAAGTGACCCAACAATGTAGCTGTAAAACAGAAATCTTCATGGAGGGTCCTAGCAGGATTAAACATGGGTTTGTTCTTGAGAAAATACTTACTGCCTTTACCTACAAACCGAAAGATGAAGAAAGGTGACGGTGAGCAGTTTTCGGAAGTCAGGGAAGCCGGTGGAGTGGTAAATTAGACATAAGCTGATTGTAGAGAATGATCTGAATCATTTGGTGGGGTGGGCTGATTTGAATATACTGGTTTAATACAGATAAATTTGCAATCATACATCTAAGGAACAAAGAGCATAGTTTATACAGACAGGATTGGATGAAGTATTTCAAAATGATGCAACATGAAAAGAAGTCAGGGTCTTGGTAGATAATTAACTGAACATGAGCCTCCAGTAGGATGATGCAATTAGAGAGTGAATGTCAGCCCTGAAGCCTAAGCAGGGAAAATATGAAGTGGGAGTAGGAAGGTGATATTCGTTCGGTTTATAGCAAAAGTAAAATCATTACAGGAATACCATGTGCAGGTCTCATACCCACACTTCAGAAAGGACTCTGACAAATCAAAAAGTAGTCAGAAAGTCCTGCAAAAAATGTGTTGAGGTCTGAAAGGCATGCCTTATCATGAAATGCTAAGAATGAACAAGCTGCATGTCTTATCAAAAAGAAAAGAAAGGAAGACTATTACTTAAACGTAAAAGATGTTTTTGATTATGGTTGGCTTTTAGTATAGGAGCAAAAGGCATAGCAAAAGACAGTTTGTGGTATTTTTCTCTTGAAAAGAAAGAGATATGTAAGATTTAACTGCAAATAAAGCCCTCAAAGAACCAAACCCACCCGGTGGATAATTAGCCACATTGACAACAAAGTGCTGGATCTTCTACTCTGCACTGTTATGTCTAAAGGTCTTTCCAGGGATATGACAATTTCAGGAGAAATTACAGACCTGCTGCTGAGACTTATAGCTGAGGTTTTACAACTTGCAGGATCATAATGATCTCTCCCAGACTCAAAATTTGTGATTATCGGACTAACATAATTCTACTTTCTTTCTTTGAATTCTATTAAATCATATTGATGTATATCTGCTGAGGAAGTAGCCCTAAGTCCTTCAAGTTTGAAAATAAGGCATAATACTGCATAAGTTTTGTACAGGTTTACCTCCACGGAAATCAATATCCTTGTATTTGAAGATAATCTTGAGAATGGGGAGACTGTAAAGATGTTTCTGAATTGCACAACCTGTTCCCACCATGGAAAGAGCCATTCAAAAATCATACTAGAAACAGTATTTAATTTTGTTTCTACAGAGATTAGTTCTGTGGAATACAGAAAATTACATCCTTCAGTTTGTCGTTTTGTTTATATGTTTTTATGTTTGAAATAATATCTATCCGTTAAGTGGTCCTGACTGCAAAAACACCAGACTGTGTTTTCAATAAATAATTCCACTTTAATGGCAAAGTAATAATTTAGACAGATACAGTGCGCACACCTGCAAAAAAATATATGCAAGCTGGTTTACAAGCTAGAAGAACAATAAACCAATAGAAAATACATCATCCAGTTAAGTCCGATGACACCAAATACTTATTATTAGGGCTTTACAAAGACTACAAAACTTTTCAGATGATTTATTTCACTGTTTCTGTCTATTTACATGATATGTTACATCAAAAATGTACAAAATATAAAATGTGTACAGACAAATGTTTCACAAACAATTTCTGAGTTGTAAACTAGGTGGACTCACTGAGATGCATTGCAGGAAGTTTTGTATATGTTATATTGTGTGTTTGTGTGTTAAATATGGCAGGAAAAGATTTGCAGGTTTGCTCAGAGCACAGGTACAGCAAAGAGCAGCTTTCCTTTAGTTCTTTGAGTCAGTCAAGGTGTATGTGCTGATGTTTTGCAACAGAAAAGGATCCAGATTTGGGGGGCGTGATGTTGGTCTGACTGAATCCTACATGCATAAAATCAGTTAGAGTTTTACTAGGGCAATAGCACCGTGTAGGAACCTCTAGATTCAGTGATGCAGCTCAGTGCCATTTGGAAACTGCATTGATTTATCTTTGTTTTACAGTGAGTGACCGCAGGGTGGCCACAAAGAGTTAATAGCACCAAATACACATCCTGAAGGTAACATCCATGGAGGTGTACAGTACATGTCTACACAATGCCAAAGCCCTTAGATACCTTCTTGTTTATATGCACCGATTTTAACCAGATGCCTCTTGTGGTAAAAGAGCGATTCCGATTATTCTGAGCAGTTTGAATGCAATCTGGTTGTAGCCTGCCGTGACATATGCACGTAAAACATTTTCAGATTTTTTCCCCCCAAAATGTATTGGCTTCATATAGATATTGAAACATGCTCACTGTAGCATTGATAGCTCCTGCATAGTCATAACAACTGTAAGTACAGGACAAACACACCAGGTAATAACAGCTTTTAAGGTTTGCATTCTGTATTTGTTTGCAACATACAGGAAATCTCAGCGAGTGAAACATCTCTTAACACCAACAGAATAAAATACAATTTTTTTTGTTTGTTTGCTTTCAATTTGATTTGTGCAAGGTTTTTTTTTTTCCTTTTTTTTTTTTTCCAATATTTACAGTACCCACCCAGTAGACTGTGCAAAACCAACCCACTTTTACAGTATAAACTCTTCCTCTTCCACAGTGGACATCACTGCTTCAGTGTTCTTTTATGCTGAATTCTTCATGTACAACAATAGCAATCAAAACAACATGCTAAAACTAGAAAAAGGAAAAAAAAAAAAAAACAAACGTATATTTGTGCTCATGCTGCATCAAGTGCATCCAGCTCTGCTGGATAAGAATTCAAAACATCTATCCTCCAAAAACTCCATTCCATGGGACCAAATGGATTTGAGCCGATTTTCTCAGCATTTAGGTGGCAGTGGAAGTGGGTTTGGGTTCCTTGTGTATTTCTGAGGGTAGGCAGAGCAATCTATTCACAAGATAAAAATATTATATAGCAACTGTTCTTTCTCCTATCCATTTCTTTAAAAAATCATGATATACAGATATGAGGCTACTGTGTTAACTGATGTTTTCTCATTAGTAAATGAAGAAAAAAACAGTGTAAATTACCAATGGTTTAGGAATTAAACCAACTGTAAAACTGTTGTAGAAATCTGTTTTAAGGCAGTGAGACAGCACCATAAGAAATGTTCCTTCTTTCACTGAAAAGGCTCAAACAAATGAAGCCCTAAAAAGCCTTTAATCAGTGTTGGTTAATAATTGGTATAAAACTGTTGTTAAGGAGTGGGCAGGTGGTTAAAAAAGACCTTTGTGGTAAAAACAACTTTATAAAATCTGTGACCGTGTACTAAAAACTTGGTGGAGAGCATCACCGTGACCATGGCAGTTAGAATTAAATTGGCACTTATCCAGCATTTCACAGTAATGTTTTCTGGTGATTGCACAATACTGTTTGTGCTTTCTGAGTTACTATCATCATCTTTGACTCATTTTGGAATGGGCAGTAGCGTACAACGCAAACACCACTGCAATCCTGTGACCAGCACCATGTGGCACAACAGAGGTTAGAAGAGAATTAGAAGACCGCATTGTTCATGCAGCGCCTCAGGGTAAACTAAAGGAAAAAAACAAAAGAAGTTGCACTGTAAACTTGTACAGAGAGACAGAGACACAGAGAGAGAGAGAGACAGAGAGAAAGAGGAAAAAGGAAAAAAAATATTCCAGTTTGGCTAACGTGTGTGCAATCTGCTTAGATGCCCTTGGTCTAGGGCCCTTTCCAGTTGACAAATGGAGTCTCACTTGGCTCCACAGGTATTGAAATGCCTTGAAATTAAACTAATTCAAGCTTTCCACTTCAATTTTTCTTCCTGACTTTGCAGAGTTAGGTCTCCTGCCTACCTACAACACACCATTTTCACTCAGGGACCTTGGCTTGCTGCTTTAATACTGGCAGTGGTCTAGTGGAAACAGATTTTACCATAATCCTCCACCTAGGTTTGTCCCTTTCAGAGAGTTGATTCAAGGGATGAATCCAAAATGTCATCATGGTGGCTGGTGCTATCACTGTCACAGCTTTGTGCGCTCGAATAGTTGGCTGCCTCTTGAAGCCTCATTAGCATATTCATCTGAAAGAAGAAAGCAATGTTTACATAATCTCGTCTCATTTAATGCTGCAGTGACCGTGTTAAAATTTAATTAAGCTCCCTTTCTGTATGAGGTGTGCTGGTATCTAGCTGAGGAGATGATACAAAAGGATTTCAGAAAGGGCAGGGTGTCAGCGGCTCCTCCTGGCACCCTTTTCATTGCCTTCTGGTCTTTAAATAGAAGTTTAAAGGTCCAAAGAGCCAGAGGGATACAATGGAGCTGCCTGATAACTCTCTTTAATTCAGGGGTGAGACCGGCTGCAGCTGCAACACCGGCAGGGGGAGGGAGGCA